TCCACCCTTCCTCCAGACTCTAGGACTTTGGTTTCCAAATGAAATACAAAACTTTCTCTCATCTGAAAAGAGGACTTTGGATCACTGGGCAACAGTCCAGTTCTTCTCCTTAGCCCAGGTAAGACTCCTCTGACGTTGTCTGTGGTTCAGGGGTGGCTTAACAAGAGGAATACGACAACTGTAGCCAAATTCCTTGGCACGTCTGTGTGTGGTGGCTCTTGATGCCTTGACCCCATCCTCAGTCCATTCCTTGTGAAGTTCACTCAAATTCTTGAATCGATTTTGCTTGACAATCCTCATAAGGCTGCGGTTCTCTCGGTTGGTTGTGCATCTTTTTCTTCCACACTTTTTCCTTCCACTCAACTTTCTGTTAACATGCTTGGATACAGCACTCTGTGAACAGCCAGCTTCTTTGGCAATGAATGTTTGTGGCTTACCCTCCTTGTGAAGGGTGTCAATGATTGTCTTCTGGACAACTGTCAGATCAGCAGTCTTCCCCATGATTGTGTAGCCTAGTGAACCAAACTGAGAGACCATTCTGAAGGCTCAGGAAACCTTTGTAGGTGTTTTGAGTTGATTAGCTGATTGGCATGTCACCATATTCTAATTTGTTGAGATAGTGAATTGGTGGGTTTTTGTTAAATGTGAGCCAAAATCATCACAATTAAAAGAACCAAAGACTTAAACTACTTCAGTCTGTGTGCACTGAATTTATTTACTACACGAGTTTCACAATTTGAGTTGAATTACTGAAATAAATGAACTTTTCCACGACATTCTAATTTATTGAGATGCACCTGTATATATATTCTCTGACCTTGACGGCGTATGTGTTTCGAGTGTCTGACGCGCAGGAGGCTGAGTAATACACAGCGTCTCCGGACAGACAGCAGGGTTTGTTGCAGGTGAGTTTGAAGAGTGACCAGTTGCTCTCGTCGAATCTCAGCGTGTTCCTCTGGCCGCTGGAGAAATGCTCCTCACACTTGAGTGCGAGCCGCCGCAGAGACTCGGCGTACAGGCCGCCCAGTTTGGAGTAGATGCCCTCGCGGCTGTCCATGTTCCTGAGCAGCGCATGCAGATGCAGCGTGTTGAGCTGCGGAGACGAGCAAGACGTCACATTCCCCAGACGCGGGCGAGAACAGGCGAGCGGTTTGACGCCAGAGTCGCTCGGAGCCGAGGTGGTGCGGTTCACCAGCTTCTTCTGTGGTAACGGAGGCGGCTGGAGCTGATTGGCCAGGCTGGTGCAGGGAAACGCGTCGGGCTGTGGAGATGAAGGGGCGGAGCCAAGCGGGCTGCTGGGGAAAGGGGAGGGGATGGAGTGGAGGGTGGAGTCTAGATCACATGACCAGAAGAAAAGAGCGAGGGAGAAGAAATAGTTAATTACTTTTAGTCGAAATGAAAAAAAAAATTATATTAACCGAATTAAAAATTGTTTAATGGCATGACTGGGTTTACATAATATTTATACAATACATAATTGATATATACAATATTTATACAACATTGACAAAAAACTTTACACAAAACAAGCAATAGCGAAAAATATATATATAAAAAATATAGAAAATAAAATAAGGTGTTAAGTAATTAATAAAAATAAATAAATGAATACGTTTAAAAAATGTATACATTTATTTGTCTTTTATCACAGTGTTGCTGTCATTCCACATAGAAACACAACTGTGATTGGCTGTAAAATATTGAATTGAAAGCAAGTTTGAAAGATCTGCTCTATATCAGATTCATAATCAGAGTTCAGAATCAGTGAATCATATGATTGTGATTTCTAAATGATTCCTGTCAGACAATCAGGAGAATTAAAGTGTTCAGTAAAATGAAACTGTTCATGTTCCTCATTTCTGTTTCTGCATTCTAACACAACACTCGCACACACTCATGCTTACACACACTCACTCACGGACTCACTCAAGCACACACACACACACACACACACACACACACACACACACACACACTCGCTTGCACTCAATCGCACACTCACACTCTCACACTCGCTTGCACTCGCACTCACTCGCTTGCACTCGCACTCACTCAATCACACTCACACTCACACTCACTCACTCAATCACACTCACAATCACACTCACTCACTCAATCACACTCACTCGCTTGCACTCGCACTCAATCACACACTCACTCAATCACACTCACACTCACTCGCTTGCACTCGCACTCACTCGCACACTCACTCACTCAATCACACTCACTCACTCAATCACACTCTCTCGCGCACTCACACTCTAACACTCACACACGTACACGCATACTACTCTCGCACTCACTCGCGCACTCACACTCTCAACACTAGCACACTCTCGCACTCACACTCTCAACACTACCACACTCTCACACTCTAACACTCACACACGTACACGCATACTCACTCTCGCACTCACTCGCGCACTCACACTCTCAACACTAGCACACTCTCGCACTCACACTCTCAACACTAGCACTCTCGCACTTACACTCTCAACACTACCACACTCGCACACTCTCACACTCTAACACTCACACACGTACACGCATACTCACTCTCGTGCACTCACACTCTCGCACTCACTCGCCGTCGCACACTCGCACTCACACACTCACTCAATCGCACACTCACACTCGCTCGCACACTCACATACACTCACTCATGCACACAAACTCCACAACCATGAATCCTTCAAAGATCATCAGATCCTGTGATGGAGTCTCTCAGTGGTTTGTGACGCGTTAATATAGGCCTGCAGATGAAGATCAGTGACTTCATGAGGGAAACCATCAGAAAACGCCCTGTGATAAACACAAACCTTGATTTCCTCTATTTAACCCTCCATTATCTCTGTGCCCCGGTGCATGGGAACACACTACACACACCTACAGTATGACAGCCTATCACAGCTGTGAGCCTGAAGATCAGGAGGAAGAGCGGCGTCTGATGTTCCCTTCTCATCACCGCTGATTATCAAGAAAGGAAGTTTCATTCACAATAACACAGTCTGTTTATAGACTTCAGTTCAGTTTCAAACCCTAGTGAACATCCCTCTGCTGCCTACACAGGAAGTTCCCTTCAGAAACTCAAATTAAACCTCATGAGACTGATTAAAAACAACCTACATGAGTAGAAACTCTATTCTCAATCTAATGACTAAATAAACACAGAAATACACACAAATATGACACAAAATAGTAATTTTTCCCCCTCAACTCCATCTGTCATTTAAGAGCCTTTTGCAATGCATTCTGGGACAGCTGTATTGATGAAAAATACAAGCATCAGCGTTTGGAAGAGTTTGTACATGACTTAAAATGATTTAATACAAGACAAAACAACAACTAAAAACCAAGAATTAGCTTAAACTGTTTTTGTCTTTGAATAACCAGATTTTGGAAAAAAGCCTAATTTTAAAAGTGTGATTTCAAAACCTGGAAAAGTCTTATTGCTGAATAGGTGTTTTATAATGAATAATATTTTACTAGTTATGCTAAGCTCTAAATAGTTTTAATCAGGCAGTAATTGTGAGTAAAATATATTTAAAAACCTTTTGTGTTTTGAGTTTATTTACGTTTATTTGGGTAATACCCAACCTACTTTTTTTAAATTGATCAAATAAAAATAAAATAAATAAATATTAATAAAATAAATAAATAATACAAATAAATGAATAAATAACAACAACATTTTTTTTTTATAAATAATTATAAAATAATAATAAAAATAAATAAATAAATAAAACAAACAAATAAGCAGTGTCTGTGTGTAGCTCACCGGTGTCGGAGTGCGCCTGCAGGCTGTCGCTGGATGCATTGGTGCAGCAGTTCAGTCCTCGCAGTGATTGGCTGAGATTCTCCACTGACCCCTGCTGACCGACGCGCTCCAGATCCATATTACTGCCACTCAGACGCTTACACACCCTGCAGACAACACAAACACACACCTACAGTCATATATCACACAAACACACACAGGTTTGTATCCTCTCTCATGTCATTTATGGTAAAGAGAAACTTCAGAGTCATTTCAATCAGGGCTGAAAATCTCTCAAACCACGGATGGTCACATCTGAAAGCTATGCTGGGCACTACAGCTGCTATATATATATATATATATATATATATATATATGTTTTACATTTTTATTAAA